AGCTTTAATTGAAATTAATATGTAAAGTTAAACCAGTTATAACTAGAGTTAATTATTCCGTTTAACTATTTACAGGTATGTTAAATTTCAAATACCAAAGAATCATACTTCACTTTAGCTTATTTGTAGATATGAATGATCCCTAATTTTCAGGGTTCTGATAAAAAACTTAATTACTTAATAAGTACATAATTGAAAAAACTTCGAAATATAAGAACACATTCAAAAATACATTGAAGATTTATGCCTTTTTAGTGCCGCAAAAATTTTGTAAATTTTGGAGCTCACTAGGCCAGATTTTCGAAATTTAGACAGAAATATCTCTTTCGATTAAATCTGAGTCTAAACTTCGGAGTTCGTATACACGAAAAGCTAATCATCATCACTACACCGAAAAAATTTAAAAATTTTTTCAAAAAATTTTAAGCATCCACTAATTCAAAAATCTGATTATGTTGAAGCACTTATAAATATTATCAATGCTATTGCTAAAATAGTTTCTGGAAGAACTGGCCCAGCAAGAAATGTGAAAGCTACAATTTTAAGTGATAAACCTCAAGTAGCTTCGGGAGCAGAGAGTAATAATACACAAAATTAATTTGAATAATAAAATTTTGATAAATAAATTAAATTGAAATTATTTATTTTTTATTTATATGTTGGACAATTTGTTAAATTTGGAATAAAAATTAATTAAAAATTTTCTTAGTCATTATATATAGGGATACTAACGTACAGCCAACTTCATTTTACTTTTTATATTTTTAGTTCCAAAGCTAGTTCCAGGCATTTACTAGTTCAGTAGTTCTAGTTCCAAACTAGTTCCAGATAATCGTTAGTTCCGTAGTTCTAGGCTCTGGAACTAGAACTAATTAGTTCCGGAACTGGAACTTTGACATCACTGCTAACGAACAGCACATTTCATTTTACTGTTTATTGTCAAATATTATTTTGATCGGGCAGGTTCCATATTTCCCCAAAAAACAACTCTACAACTAGTTAATAATTCCACAATAAGACTTCAAAATATTCTTCAATTCAATTAATAACCCATAGAATTTAACCATACATGTTATTTGGTTAGATTATATTTCCATTTTTAAATATATTCTTTAATGAGTTAATTTTTACTAGTGAGTTAATTTTTACTAAAAAAAAATGAGTTAATTTTGAGTTAATTTTTACTAATAATACAGGAATAAGCTGAAAATGCCATAGGTTGGATATCTCCTTCTGTTATATTATGTTCATCTATAGTTACAGTTTTATTGTCAGCCTGTAAGCGGGCATAAAAATCCAAAGAAAACATTTGTACTGTTAGGATTAATGGAGTAATAAAAATCAGCAGAATGCTAAGTGGTAGGAAACGCCTCCATATCTAAAAAAAATATTATTTTTAAAATTATTTTTTAACCTTTTCATAAGTAAATGGCCATAAAATAGAAGAAAGTCTATTAAATAATCGTAAAGTTGTAGCTATATTTTCACCATGTATACAATAAAGACCAAGGAAAAAGATTGTTGCTAATACCCACGAAGGTAATTGGAGGTATATATTTGTGAATAACCCAACCTTTCCAAAACGTTGTCCGAAGGAGATAATAAAGTTGAGAATATTCTAGAATTAATTTAATTTATTCAAATGCCTGGGTAATTATTTCTCAGCCCATTTCTCGAGGGAGTTGAGGTATTTATTTTTAATTTAATTAGCCTACCAAAATTGCCCTTGCAATAAGTAACTGAAAAAAGCTCGAATTAAAATCCTTCCATTTTGTAATTATTATTACAACTTCAAATGAATATAAAATAGCAGATGGTACTCCAATAACTATCGAAATAACAAACGGCAAATATACCGTATTTGCCAAAAATACAATTGGTGCTGACAGGAAAAAGCCCATAGAGTGAAATATTATAAAATAATAAATTTATAAGAATTTTTAAGGAATTTTAAGGATTTTTAAGCAAATTTAGTAAAAAATTAAAAAATTATAATTTAAAATGGAAAAATAAATGCATTTAAATATGGTCTTGAAATAATGGTATAAAGCATCTGTTAAAGTTAGGATATGCCAAAATATTTTAAATTTAAATCAAAATCAGAATAATAGCCACCAGAAGCTAAAACGACAAAATTTTTATTTTATATAAACTTAATAAAATCAAAAATCATTAAATTTTCGATTTAATTTAAATTAATGATTTAATTTAAAATCAAAAAATCAAAAAAAAAATATAGCTTATGACCTAAGCTTTCACTCATATTTTTAAATATTGTCTTTTACAAGTATAATTTAAACTTATTTAAATAAATAATTAAAATTATTTAAACATAATATTAATTGACAAAGTCTACACAATATTCTGTCCTTTAATGAATATTGAGGCTTTCGTGAATTTTCACAAGACTACAAAATTGAAATTTTTTTCATGATAAAGTTGTTTCAAATTAAAGTGTAAACAAAATAAAAATTATTATACATTTGTCACATTTTTAATAATTTAATTTTTTAAAATATTGTCTGAAATATTCGAGATTGAAATTGGAAAATATTGGGGAAATTTTTATTATTAATTATTTATTCAGTTAGAGATGTCATAAATTCATTTTCTTAGTTTGTTAATTTTGCAAGGATTTCGAGGAAATTCTTGACATTAACAGGATATCAGGATCATGGCTGATCAAAATTCCGTTTGTTGACAAATTTTTGTCACGCTCCATATAGGCGAACATGCTTAGTTCATTACCGTTTATTCCCAATATTACCATTTTCACTCACTTTTCATATCAGATTCTACAAAACCAAATTGTCAGTCGGGTATCCAGAACGATTATTTAGGTTAGGAACGATCATTCACATATTCCCTAAAATCATTTATGAAATAAGTACTCTACTCACCCAGATTTATAGTATGTTAAATGAACACAGTACCGGACTTATTTGTACAATAATATGTATAATTTGAATAAAATCTAATCGCCATGGATTTGAGGAGAAAATAAAATGTGCCATACAAAGTTCAAAATTACAAAAGTTGTTTATTAAAATTTTTTTATTTTTATTTTTCTAAAGTTAAATTAACAATTTAAATAAAAACTATTTATAGAAATAAATTTTTTAAACTGAAAAAATTTAAATAATTTGCACTTTTTCAACTTTTTAAAAAATTTCCGGGCCACCAGTTAACTTTTGTTTACAAAATTTAAATTTTTTTTTATTTTTAGAATAAAGCAAACAATTTGTTGTCATGCCATCAATAATATTTTTGAATGTACTTTTAATTGTTTATTCAGATTATAAATAATTTTCCCTATATAAGTAAGGCGAATTCTCTTTTTTAAATAAATCCGTTTTAATATTAATATACCTATTTTTTATTTTTCTCATATTTCTTTCAATTTTCGATTCCAACATTTTTATTCGAGCAGATTTGTTAACCTAAAACTTAAATTAACACTAAAATACGATTCCATACCTTTATTAAAGCTCATATTATATTGAAATCAGAGGTAAGTTGTAATAACGGTGGTGTCCGAATGCGAAATAACCTCAAATTGTCAAAATTTTAAAATCGTAAATTCAAAAAAATTCCAGATCGAAGGAAATCTTTCGGAGCTGTTTTTTCCAACCCACCTTTATTGAAAATTTAAGCCACAACATTTTGACGTCGAACTGTGTGAATAATTAATTTAGAAAAATAATTCTTATTTCAATTCCCCCTAATATTAAATAAATCTTTACTTCAAAGCACCTATTTTATTTCCTCGAAAAATTTTTAATAAAAAATTAATGTAAATAAATTTTTGTCTAAAGGAAGCTGAAATGTCATAAAAATAAAAGTTAAGAAAAACGGAACCAATTTAAATTTGTCCGACCAAAAACCACGTCTAGGAAATTAATTTTAGTTAAAAATTAAATTTTGGACATTAAAAAAAATATTTTTAATTAAAAATATATATTTATTTTATTTGTAATTCTTCTTTCCTTATTTTAAATTAAAACATTTTTAAATTCTCTTTCAAAGGAACATATTCAATACATTTTATTAAACAAACAAATAAATAATTGAAGCTATTTCCTTTTATTTTTTTAGAAAAATATATTTATTTTTTATTTATTTTAATATTTTTATGTAAAGCATATGATGCTTAAATTAAAATGTTTTACCATAAATTTAAGTCTTTCAGTTTTATTTTTACAAAAAACACAAAAATAATTATTTAAACAATTATTTATCTCAAAAATGGGAATTCTTCGGCAAAAATTTATTATAATAAAATTATCTAAGGAAACAAACTAAAAAGATGATTAAATTTATAATTCTGAGCGACAAAATTAATTATCAAACATTTTATTGCTTGAATTCACATTTTTTGAATAAATTTAGTCAATTATGAGTGCATATTTTGGGCTTTTTCGCTGCATTTATATGCGCATATTTTGGAATTTTCATTGCATATTTTGACACGCCCTAATTATAAATTTTATTCTTTCTTATCGTTAAATTTTAATTTCTTTTCTTTCCTTAATTTAAAATAAAAATTAAAAATAATTTTTGTTATATTTAAACGTGGAAATAAATTGATTTAAATTTATGTATAATGCTGTTTTTAAGACCACCTGATTGTTCCTCAATGTCCTAAAATGGAAATTTTATTAAAAATATTTTTCATCTTTTTTAGTAATTTAAAGAATTTTGAATTATTTGGGGGGTTTAAGTACTCTGAGTTAAATTTATTTATTTATTTATTTAGGATTTTGTCCACAATTTTTATTTATTTTCGTTAAATTTTTTTCCATTATTTATTTTAACGAATTAAAATCTTTTTTTAAAAATTTGGCCAAAATTTTTTTTAATTGTTTATATATTTAAAAATTTATTAAAATAATTTTTTTCATTTTATTTTACTTCCTTTTCTATTTTTTATCAATTTAATGTTTTTTTAACTTAAATTAATTAAATAATTTATTTTTATTTAAAAATTTAGATTAATATTTAAATTTAAAAATGATTTTTATTGTTTTGTGTTTTTTATTTGCTTGTTTGATTCCAGGTAAATTTTTAAGAAATATATTAGGAAAACAAAGTTATATGATTATTAATTAATTATTAATTTATCAAAGTTATTTAATTTTTAATTTTTAGATATCAATACTGGAAAAATAACAAGTTGTCCTACAACAATAACCTCGGCACTTAAAGGTTTTTAAAATAAAATTTTAGATTTTTATTGGGCAGAAATGGGCAGAAAAAAATGGACAAAAAAATAAAAATTTTTAAAATTTAAAGTAAAGCAAGTTGTTTACTTATTTGAAAATCAAAATGTATGGAAACATGATGGAAAAAGAATATATGCTGGACCGTTAAAACTAAATGACGTAAGAAAAAACTTTTTATTTTTTAAATTATAATATTAATTTTTTAAATAAAAATTTAGAAAAAATTTAGAAAAATTTTAAAAAGAATTTTAAGAGGAAATTCGAAAGTTATAACTTTTATAAATAAATAAATTAATTAAAAACACTTTTTGTTAATTATTTTTATACAATTTAATTGAATTAAAATTTTTAACACTTTAAAAACGTCTAAAATTCCCTAATCTTTGGAAATTTAAACTAACAGAAAGTGGAACGAGACGAGATACACTCCCAGTTCGGTTTCTAACTGAAAGCAATATTTCTAGTTATAGATGAGGATATTAAATAAGTGAGTATCAGAGGTTAATCCTATCCAACAAATACTTGAATCTCTCGATATCCCTATTAATCCCTGATATCACTATTGCATGAGGTATATCCGAGGATATACATGGATTAAGTTGGATTTTGAGGGATATTGGGAGGTTACTCAGTGAGTATATGTATAAACGAGATTTAATTTATAAATTTAAACAAAATTTTATTTTTCAGTTATTTCCAAATGTCCCAGGTGTCAATACTTCATGTACCTCATCTAAAGACGTAATTTATCTTTTTTATATGAAAAAAGTTTATGCTTATGTTTGTGAACACACAACGGGGAAATTTAAGTAATTTTTAAATATTTCTAAATTTAAATTAATCCAATTTAAAGTTTACTTGATAAACATCCAATAGAATTACAACCAATGATTATTCCCTTCCCTATTAAATGTTTTCCGTTAAATAACGGAAGTTTAATGATTGGAAGTGTAAGTATAAATTAATAAAAAAGGGTTTAAAAGTTTTGTTTGAAAATTAAGGATTTTACTATTTTTGAAAATAAAATTCAAAGTTATGCATAAAGTTGTCGGTTCTGAATCAAAACTAAGAACTAAGAAATTTTTGAGTTAGTTAGACTGTTTAACCTCGGATATAAGAAAAATTTTCAAGAACAGACAACTCTTTAATGCATTAAATCCCTTAAAATTATAATATTAAATGCCATTTTAGAAAAAGCTTAGGAACAAGCGCTTACTGTAAATAATTAAGGTATCACGACTTTTGCGCCGAGAACATTTGCGCCGCGACTTATGCGCCGCGACTTTTGCGCCGGGCGACTTTTGCGGCGCGACTCTTGCGCCGCGACTTTTGCGCCGGGCGACTTATGCGCCGCGACATTTGCGCCGCCATTGTTTAAAAAATCCGGATCCGAAAAAGGCCGGATATCCGAAATTTTCAGTTTGGATATCGGATCCGGATATCAGAAGATTTTCAACTATCCGACAACACTACTAAAGTGAGGTTCGGCTGTAGTTATCTATATATTTTTAATGATAGTGGCGGCGCAAAAGTCGCCCGGCGCAAAAGTCGCGGCGCAAATGTTCCCCGGCGCAAAAGTCGCTCGGCGCATAAGTCGCGGCGCAAAAGTCGCGGCGCAAGTGTCGCGGCGCAAATGTTCTCGGCGCAAAAGTCACGGAACCATAATTAATTGTCCTTATTATCTATTCGTAGTAATTCTGAACAGAATATTTTTTCGAATTTTAGTGCGATTTCTGATTAATCAAAATCTAAGTATATCCAAACAACAATCTGAAAAATTAAAAATTTAAAAAAAAATCAAACAAATTTTAAACTGTTCAATAAAAAATTAAAACAAATTCTTTTTTAAACTTTTTGAAATAAATTAAATTAAACAGAATTTTGAAATTAAAAAAATTAAATTTAGGGGACTGCATCTTACACTTACTATCCGGAAGTAAATGTTCCGCATATGGTAATTTTTATTCAAAACAAATAATAGTAAAATTAATTTTGAAACAGTCCGGCGACTTTTACGAGCAATTCCCCGGATTGCCCGCAGAATTTATTTCTGGATTTCCAATTGACAATAATTACAATAATTATTTATTTTTGGATAAATTAAATGGTAAGAAAATTAAATAAAAAATATTTTTAAATTTATTTTTTAGCAAGTAAATATTCTTTTAATGATTTTAAATCGGAAGCTACAGATTTAAAGAATTATTTAAATTGTAAAGTTAATTAATAGTTAATGAGGAAAATAAAGAAATACAGAGATAAACTGGAAATTATTTTAAATATACTAAAGTTAAAAATCCATTTATAATATAAATTTAAATAATTGGAAATATATAAATATGTAGCTTATTTAAAAATTATTATTTTTATTTCTGATAAACTTAAAAATACAGGAGAATATAAATATAAATTACTAATGTCTTCAGTCATTTGCTAGATTTCGTACTCTTATTTTTAAATATTATTAGTAATGTTTATAACGGATTAATAATAGGAAGATTCAACTTTAAATATATATTATAAATGGATTTGACAGTATCTATTCCCAATAAAAATATTTAATCATACCCAATACCGCATAAATTTATTGTATTCATTTCTAATAAAAATTCATTTGATAAAAATTTTAAACGAAAACGAAACACTCACCCCCAAAAAACACCTTGGTTATTGCAACCTTTTTTTCTTTTTTAAATTTTTTATTTTGTATTAGGTTTTTTATGATTTTGTGCTTTATGTTTTTTGCGTCTTCGCCCAACTGATACATACTGATTGGAATAGGGTTTACTTAGCAAATTCCACTAAATCAGACAAAACATTTTGGCCAAACAGCCAGTATACTTATAAGGAATGGGGTCAAGTACTCACTCAGATCAACTGGCCGTTGATCTCGAACACGGAAACAGTACATTGAGGATTGGATAAATTATTGAATGATTTCGAAAACACGATAATTTTGTTAAAGTGTTTGTTATGTTATATCATTTAGGAAGATTGCGTTGACGTCTTCATCGTCCACGGCTTTTTTTGGTATTATTTTTATGTATAAATCTGTCTAAATATTATCTAATTTTACAATAATATCTGTTGTATTTTATGTTTCAACTTTATTTCCTAATTTTTAATTTGTTGTTGAACGGCTTGAAGTTTAGTAGGATTTTTTTAATTTCTTCAGAATGTGCTATTTTACAAAATACTCAGAAAAGTTAAAAATTTACTCATAAAAATAAAATAAATTTTTTGTTTAACTTAAAGAAATACAAAGAATTTAAATAAAAAAATATTAAATAAAAAATGTTATATAAAAATTGAAAAAGTTAAGGTTAAATATTGTTTGTAAATCTACAATTTAAAATATCGATATAAGAATAATAATAATAAAAATTAATAAAATCACAAAATAATTTGGAAAATCTAAAAATAAAAAAATTAATATGATGTTAAATTTGACGAAAGAAAAGACAATGTGCAAAGAATGAAGAAAGTCACGCGCTATTTTGTATTCCTTTTGTTGCAATTTTCTGTCGTAAAAAAACTTTTTGTAACACAGAATTAGAAGATAATAAATATAATTATAATAAAGATGGATTTCAAGAATAATGTTTAGAATAAAGTAGAGTACGTCGAGTACCGAGTAATTGGGGAAAAACCGAGTTCGAGTAATGCCGAGTTTGAAAACCTTGAGTTCAAGTACGAGTTCAACTTTTTAGGCCAAGTTCGAGTAAATCGAGTAATTTTTATAAAACAGTATTTTAAAATAATTTCAATAAAAACAATACTATTACTGAAAACGGCGGATTAAGGGAAATATAGGCGGACTAAGAGAAGAAATGGTATTTGGATGATGAACCCCTGCATCACTGTCAACCCAAAATGATGTTAATTTTTTAGTAAAGCATTGTGTTGGTAAAATTATTTTAGAACACAGTTTTATAAAAATTACTCGATTACTCGATTTACTCGTACTCGAACTCGGCTTAAAAAGTTGAACACGTACTCGAACTCGGGGTTTCCCCAATTACTCGGTATTCGACTTACTCTACTATAGATAATAAAATAGTTTGTAAATAAAGATGTCGGGGTATGTGGCAGGGCTGGGCGATTTAGCATTTTTGCGTTTCGCATCTTTCGCATTTTTCACATTTTTAGCGCGAAAAGTTTCGCATTCCGCATTTCGATTTTTATTTTTCGATTTCGCCCAGCCCTGGTATGTGGTCATCAAATTGTTTGGGGAATGCTGAAATATGCGTGTGGATTTTTAATTGCAAAATTTTAAATATTGGTTGAATAAATAAAAAATTTTTGTTGGTTCAATTCAGAGAGAAGCCTCATAAACTTCTACAAAAGTACAACCAAAACTTCTATGTACAAATCAAAAAAATTCATTTTTTAATAAATTTATCAATCTTTGTCTTGATTTTTTGGTATTCAATTTTTTGTGATCTAAAATATATTTAGATTTTGTCTTAATTTAAAAAATATTAAAAAAAACTTTTTAATTAAATCTTCCATAATTTCAAATTTTTTGTTAAATTCCATTTTTTTTGTTTTGAGTTTCTAAAAATATTTTAATTGTTTAATAATATTTTTTATTATATATAAACGGAACCGAAGTTCCATTTCTAAAGTTAATATACTTAATCCGAGTTATTTCCGGATTATTCCCGAAAATCAAAAATTATTCCCTGACTTGATTGACCCATAAAAAATCCAGACATGCCGACTCCGGTTAATTTTTTATTCCAGATTTTGAACTGGATCTGGATTTTTTCGTATGTATTTAATTATTCTTCATTATTACCAGAGGTGGGTCGAAAATGACGAAGGTGCCGGAAATCGGAAGGAAAGAAACATCGGAACTCTGAACTTCGGAGTTCACTGAACTTACCTCTTTAATATAATCATCAAATATATTTGCCTCAATTTTTACTAATAAATAAAAAATTAAATAAATTAATTTTTTATTATTTAATTTAATTTCTTCAATATTTTCCAACAAAAATTTTGTAAATTTATTTACTAAATGTCCATCTTTTTTATAATAATTTCCTTTTTTCTTTTCAAATAAATTATTTATTTCCAATTTTTGATTTTCTTTTAATTTATTTTCAATATTAAATTTAAATTCCTCTACATTTTTATCAAAAATTCCAATATTTTGTTCAAACAATTTATTTTCAATTTCCAACAAATCTTTTAAAAAATTGAGTGCATCTTTCATTTCTTTATTCTCTAAAAATTTTGAAATTAATTATTATGGCCTAGAATATTAGATTTGGTTTTTTGTTAGTAAGGTTCATCTAACCCGAAGAATTACTGAAACAGACAACTCTAGTCTGAAATATTTCATATCAATTAACTAAAGGGATATATCAAAATTTCTATTTACATCATCGGACGTTCTAGGGCGTTCTAGTATCATCATTTTTGGATTCTGGGTTTAATAAAAAGAAGAGTTGGACTGGAAAATTCTCGTGTTTATCAACAAAGAATTTAGGATCAATGAATTTCTTGTATCGTGTTTAGAATAAACTATGGCTAAGCTCTAATAAAATGTTTATTTATTACTAAAAATATTTACGTGTATATTCCTTCATTATAATTTCATCAATTAATATTGTAAAAAATATTTCTTCGCCTTCCTCTTTAATTTCTTCTTCTATTTCTCGAATAATTTCTTTTCCTTTTAGATCCTTTGGCAGATTTTGCTACATAAATTTAAATAATTATTGTCAGGTGGAATAATCTGGGTACAACTTAAATTATTTATTACTTACCTCCTCTAATATTGTTTTCTCTTCATTGTTTTTCATAATTATTTTATCTGGATTTCCATCTTTTATTTTTTGACTACCATATAATTTTTTAATTTCATTTTCTAATAATTAAGTTTATTAATTGAAAACATGAAAACTATGGATTCGACAAAATTTTTAACTCGCCGTATTTTTAATTACACCCCTAATGACAACAAAAAATTCTGAAATTCGAAGAAAAAATCCAGGTGTAGATAAAAATGATCTTTTGGTTTTATTTAGTTAAAAAATTTAGTTTAAAAATTTTCTTAGTTCACCCATTCCTAGCTGTTTGTTTTTGACCTTTATTAGTTTTTTGGTTTCTCGATTTTTGACACAATTTTGCCTCCGCATTCCTTTTATTTATTTCTCCCGTCTTACGGGTTTTAAAATTAAATTTGCAACATCCCTTAAACCTATGGATATTAACATGCTTATACATATATACTTGTCGATGAAAAATTCGAAAAACTTGCTTGACATATTTTTAATTTAAAATTTACTTTTTTCTGATACATTCTTTTCGTTCACAATTTTTATTGGATTATACACTTTATCTGTATATATTTTTTCAATAAATTTTAATTTTTGAATATTTCTTTCAAATTTATCCATTTCTTCAATATTTTTATCTAATTTTTTAATTTCCTCATTTACACAATTGTTCAAATATTTTTTATTTTCTTCTTTATTTTCTTCTTTATATTCGTTATTTAAAATATTTTCTGTACATTCTTTCATTACAAACAAATATTTTAAATGAATATCAAAATTAGTTTCAGAATAACCATTTGGATTAAGAAATATTTGCTTTAAAAGTTTAAAAAATTATTTTTAAATAGGCAGGGTACCATATACTCTCCCAACTCCCAAACTTTCGTTTATATGTATTAAAAACGTTTTTACTACAAAATTAATTAAACATATAACTTCAAGTTTAGTTAGCATGCAAATTGTCTACCGTATAACCTGTATTAATTGCCCTACCTCAAATAATTACCCCACTTCCATTAATTACCCTATCTAGTGATAGATTGAAACAATAACTACCCCCCACCAAATGCCCTAAAACACGTTCAAATTTCAAACTTCGTATAATTACTCTCCCTCGATTAATTACTCCATTTAGTGGAAGGTTGAAACAATAATTACCCAGGTAGTTATTAAAGGATATACGGTATTTTTATATTTTGTTAATTTCCTGAATACTCGCTCTCATTATTGTATATTACATACTATGTATATACTTATACTTAAAGCTTAATTTCAAAAATACCTCCAATTCTTCCTCAATTTCTTCCTCTTCAATTTCATTAAAATTCAAAACAAATTCTTTAAGAAAATTATTTCCATTCCAATAATTTTCAAAAATTATTTTCCAAATATTTTTTATTTGTTCAATTCCAACTAAAAAACAAATAAAAATAAATAT